TTCATGGTATGACTTTATTCACTAGCAAATTTCTGTCCAATGCATACATTAAACCCCAATGTTAATACAGCACACAATCTCCTTAATGAACAATTGAGCAAAAAATACTCAACAAAATAATGGCAGAATCGATCAGCAACACATCAAAAAGATTTATTCACCAGCGACCAGTAGCTCATTCCCAGATGCAGCGGTCGTTCAACATACGAAAATCAATAAACGTAATAAACCACATTAACAGAAGCAAAGACAAAAACCACTTGATCATCTCAATAGATGCCAGAAAAAGCCTTTGATAAGATCCAACATCATTTCATGATAAAAGCTCTAAGAAAACTAGGAATAGAAGGAAAGTTCCTCAACATTATAAAAGCTATATATGACAACCACAGCCAGCATTATACTTAACGAGAGAAAAATTAAAAACCATTCCCCTCTAAAATCAGGAACCAGACAAGGATGCCACTATCTCCACTCCTATTCAACATAGTACTGGAATTCCTGCCAGAGCAATTAGGCAAGAAGAAGGAATAAAAGGAATACAAATAGTAAAGAAACTGTCAAAATATCCCTATTTGCAGACGACATGATCCTATACCTTAAAGACCCAAAAAACTCTACTCAGAAGCTTCTAGACATCATCAATAGCTATAGCAAGGTAGCAGGATATAAAATCAACATAGAAAAATCATTAGCATTTCTATACACTAACAATGAGCAAACGGAAAAAGAATGTATGAAAACAATTCCATTTACAATAGCCTCAAAAAAAATCAAATACCTAGGTGTAAACCTAACAAAAGATGTGAAAGACCTCTACAAGGAAAACTATACACTTCTGAAGAAAGAGATTGAGGAAGACTATAGAAAGTGGAGAGATCTCCCATGCTCATGGATTGGTAGAATCAACATAGTAAAAATGTCTATACTCCCAAAAGTAATCTACATGTTTAATGCAATTCCCATCAAAATTCCAATGACATTCATTAAAGAGATTGAAAAATCTACTGTTAAATTTATATGGAAACACAAGAGGCCACGAATAGCCAAGGCAATACTCAGTCAAAAGACAATGCAGGAGGTATCACAATACCTGACTTCAAACTATATTACAAAGCAATAACAATAAAAACAGCATGGTACTGGCACAAAACAGACATGAAGACCAGTGGAACAGAATAGAGGCCAGATATGAAGCCACACAACTATAACAACTTATCTTTGACAAAGGAGCTAAAAATATACGATGGAGAAATAGCAGCCTCTTCAACAAAAACTGCTGGAAAACTGGTTAGCAGTCTGCAAAAAACTGAAACTAGATCCATGTATATCACCCTATACCAAGATTAACTCAAAATGGATCAAGGATCTTAATATCAGACCCAAACTCTTAAGTTGATACAAGAAAGAGTAGGAAATACTCTGGAGTTAGTAGGTATAGGTAAGAACTTTCTCAATGAAACCCCAGCAGCACAGCAACTAAGAGATAGCATAGATAAATGGGACCTCATAAAACTAAAAAGCTTCTGTTCATCAAAAGAAATGGTCTCTAAACTGAAGAACACCCACAGAGTGGGAGAAAATATTTGCCAACTATACATCAGACAAAGGACTGATAACCAGAATATACAGGGAACTTAAAAAACTAAATTCTCCCAAAACTAATGAACCAATAAAGAAATGGGCAAGTGAACTAAACAGAACTTTCTCAAAAGAAGAAATTCAAATGGCCAGAAAACACATGAAAAAATGCTCACCATCTCTAGCAATAAAGGAAATGCAAATTAAAACCACTAAGATTCCACCTCACCCCTGTTAGAATAGCCATCATCAGCAACACCACCAACAACAGGTGTTGGCGAGGATGCGGGGAAAAAGGAACCCTCTTACACTGTTGGTGGGAATGTAGACTAGTACAACCACTCTGGAAAAAAATTTGGAGGCTACTTAAAAAGCTGGACATGATCTACCATTTGATCCAGCAATACCACTCTTGGGGATATACCCAAAAGACTGTTACTCCAGAGGCACCTGCACATCCATGTTTATTGCGGCACTATTCACAATAGCCAAGTTATGGAAACAGCCAAGATGCCCCACCACTGACGAATGGATTAAGAAAATGTGGTATCTATACACAATGGAATTTTATGCAGCCATGAAGAAGAACGAAATGTTATCATTCGCTGGTAAATGGATGGAATTGGAGAACATCATTCTGAGTGAGGTTAGCCTGGCCAAAAGACCAAAAATCGTATGTTCTCCCTCATATGTGGACATTAGATCAAGGGCAAACACAACAAGGGGATTGGACTATGAGCACATGATAAAAGCGAGAGCACACAAGGGAGGGGTGAGGATAGGTAAGACACCTAAAAAACTAGCTAGCATTTGTTGCCCTTAACGCAGAGAAACTAAAGCAGATACCTTAAAAGCAACTGAGGCCAATAGGAAAAGGGGACAGGAACTAGAGAAAAGGTTAGATCAAAAAGAATTAACCTAGAAGGTAACACCCACGCACAGGAAATCAATGTGAGTCAATGCCCTGTATAGCTATCCTTATCTCAACCAGCAAAACCCTTGTTCCTTCCTATTATTGCTTATACTCTCTCTACAACAAAATTAGAAGATAAGGGCAAAATAGTTTCTGCTGGGTATTGAGGGGGAGGGAGGGTGGAGTGGGTGGTAAGGGAGGGGGTGGGGGCAGGGGGAGAAATGAACCAAGCCTTGTATGCACATATGAATAATAAAAAAAATGAAAAAAAATAAAAATAAAAAATAAATACAGGGGCACAGAAAAAATTTAAATAATTAAAATAAATGACAAGGCAGTTTTAAGCCCTAAAGAACTGAAGCTAGCTTTGAATGTGTAAGCCAGTGGTGTGGATGGATATACACGTATTCATGCAACAATATTTCTTAAACATTGACTATAAATCTAGAATCATTTGGTGTTTGAGTTTTTAAAATGAATAATACTGATTTCAGCTATTTTCTCAGAGGAAACTGAAATGGAAAGAAACCAATTACTTTGTCAACAGGAGCACAAATGAACAATGAACATGAGCAACAGACTTTTGAAGATTTTCTAGTGATGCTCAAATTGAACATAACAAGTATACACAGTATTTTAAATTTGATTTTGAACTCTATCATAGTGATAAGATACCAGACAATTTTCTACACTTAACTAAACAGACAAAAGCATGAAGTAAATGTTTCTTTTTCCCAGATGTCTATGCAAGGATCGACATTTCTTCAGAGAAGCCAATTGTGCAATCCCAATAACACTAGAGTATAAATTATACACTGTCAGAAAAACAGAAGAAGCCAATAATGAGAAGTTGCATTTTAAAGCACAAAACAAAACAATGTGTTCTTGGTCATGGTGGAAAAATATGAGATACAAGTGCACATGAATCAACAAAACCAATGCTTGGAGTCCAATAAGTGTTACCATATTACATTTATCCAAACCAGATCTTAAATCTAGAGAGGACAAATTAAAAAAACTGATTTACATAAGTATGACCTCTAAAATACAGAAGGAATCTTAGACACATAACTACAAACATAAAATAAAAATGGGAAATTAGGGGTTGGGGATTTAGCTCAGTGGAAGAGTGCTTGCCTGGCAAGTGTAAGGCCCTGAGTTCGGTCCCCAGCACCGAAAAAAAAAGGAAAAAATAGAAAAAATGGGAAATTAGGATGGCAGAACAGTTTTTTAATGTGTTGTAAAACCTAACACCAACTATAAAAACAATGAACTAAAATAAATTCTTGATAGCTAAACTATCAACCAAGAGTACTGACAATATCAGTTGCTGCTTATTGAAGACACTTAGCACGAATTCATTCTAATAGTCACTGTCTATGGATATCTGGTTTTGGTAGAATGCTTTTCAAGTAAAATATCTCTAAGTTTACATGAAGTTTAAATAAAATTCAATAGTCAGGGATGAAAAATCACATGATAACAACCTTCATTCTGTCGGGCTAACAAATGATTCTCAACTTCAGATTCCAATTTTTGTCTTTCTATTTTTCATGTACATGCTGAGTATAACTGGAAATCTGACCATCATATCCCTCACTTTATTGGATGTTTGCCTTAAAACACCCATGTACTTTTTTCTACAAAATTTCTCCATACTGGAAATTTCATTTACATCTGCCTGTATCCCTAGATATTTGTACAACATAGCGACAGATGACAGGTCAATTACTTACACTATTTGTGTCATTCAAGTGTTTTTTACTGACATCTTCGGAGTAAGATGTCACCACTTACCCTGTTCCTGAACTTGAAATTTTGTGATTCAAACGTTATTGATTGAGGATTCCAAGATGGCAGCTAGAGGTAGGAAGCAGAAAGCTACCCTCCTATAGTGAAATCTTGGAAAGACACTGGAGACACACTTTGCAGGCATAATCACTGAAAAAAGGCATAACTTTGACCCCTCCACATCTACAGCCGGTGCAGAGAATCTCCACTTCACGTTAAATGGAGAAACGAAGAGGGCCCCCCTGGGGCCGCCAGTGGTTGGCGCCCATATGGCTTGGGAAGACGCGGACCAGGTGAGCTTCACGGTACCATGGTAGCCCCACAGACAAGCCTGGGCCAGAGCAGCATAGCCCCCTGGACAGACTGACCTCCACCCGGGAAAAAAAAGAGAGAAACTGAGAGCAAATAAGAACAGTAAGACACACTGGAAGAGGTGGGGCGCCTGAGCGCGAAGAATGGGAAGGAATCCTTCCGGGATTGTAAGATTGGGGAAGGGAATCCTTCCTGGGATTGTAAATAAACAACCTGGGCGGGCCAGAGAGCCTCTGGCGGGAGCAGGGCGCGCACCCAGCAACCAGGAGCGGGGAAGCTTGTGAGAGGAGGGAAGACCCACGTGAACTGTAAACAAACATGGCAGCCGGCAGGAGCAGCAGCACTGCCCAGTAAGCAGGAGCAGGAAAGCTTCTGAAAGTGGCAGTGGGAGGAAAACTTCAGAGGAGAGGGGGGAAGACCCACCTCCCACATGAACTGTAAATAAACACGCAGGCCTGACAACGTGGGGGCAGTGTCACCTTTCCCAGTGCTTGGAAAGGGGAAAGCCTGTAGCAGAGGCTCCCGCACAGGAGAACTCTGAGCAAACAAAGCCTGGGACAGGTGAGTGCTAGCTCACCCCAGAGATCTGCATAAATAACGCCGCCAGCTACAGGCTGAGAGCAGCAGGCAGGCAAGCCACAGTTGCAGGTACCACTCTCAGAACTGTCTCCAGAAGCTTTTTTTTCTTTTTCTCCCTACCTTTGATGAGAGAACAACCGAATTACACCTGCAAGCCAAAAAACTTACTGAAACTGTATTGCATTTGAACTGGGGACACTTGGTGGGGCTTTTGTGTTGTGTGTGTGTGTGTGTGTGTGTGTGTGAGTGTGTATTTTTGTTCTGCTTTATGCATACCCTTTGATGAGACGAATACAGAACAACATCTGAGGCACCAACTCCAGGACTGGAGATTGAGACGGACACCCAAATTATTAAGTCTGAAACTTAATAAATTAATATTTTTTTATCTTTGATTTTCAATCCTCTCTCTGTCTCTCTAATGTCTGTTCAGCTTACTGTCAATTAGTACACTAACACTCCCTGTTTATACCTTTGAAACTCTCTTGTCTGGTACCTTGTTCTGCTTTCTCCCTCTTGTCTGTATATTTGTTTTCCCCTTTTCTTTAACTTCTTGCTTTCCATCTCAGCTCACCCTTCCATTCTAAATATTACCATTGTTATTATTACAAGCTAGAAAATACTTAATTACACACAGTACAGGGACAGTAACAACACCAAGGACAATGATGGGAAGACAGAAAAAACAAGGAAACCACTTTCCCCACAGCAAAAAATTAGTACAGGAACCAGAGGGGAATGAAGAGAACAGAAACTCAGATCGAGACTCCAACAAAATGAAGATAAACTATGCCAAAGACCCAATGAAGCCACAAGAATAATTTAAAAGAAGACATACTACAAGTACTCAATGAGAATTTTATAGAGATGATACTGGATAGGGTCAACTAAAATGTACAGGAGACACTCAAGAAATTCCAAGACAAAAAAATAGAGAATTTGAAAAAACAAATGAAGAAATAAAGGAAACCATAGAAGCACTGTATAAACACCAAAGTGAAAGAGAGAACATGATGAATAAAAGATAAATGAACTCAGGAAAAAATAGACAACATAAAGAAGAAAACAGCCAGGATATGGAAAACCTCAGAAAAAAGAACGAAACAGAACTGCAAAACAAAATGGAAGGCCAATCCAGCAGAATAGACAAACAGAAGACAGAATCTCAGAATTTGAAGATGAAATGGTAATTAAAGGAAAAACCAAAGAACTATTAATTAAACAACTCAAGACCTGTGAAAAGAAAATGCAAGAACTCACTGACTCCATCAAAAGACCAAACTTGAGAATCATGGGCATCGAAGAAGGAGAAGAGGTGCAAGCGAAGGGAATGCGTAATATATTCAACAAAATAATAACGGAAAATTTCCCAAATCTAGAGAAAGATATTCCCATACAAATGCAAGAGGCCTCCAGGACACCAAACAGACCAGATCAAAATAGAACTACTCCACGACATATCATCATTAAAACAACAAGTTCAGAAACTAAGGAAAGAATATTGAAGGCTGTAAGAGAGAAAAAACAAGTAACATACAAAGGTAAACCCATCAAAATCACAGCAGACTTCTCAACAGAAACATTAAAAGCAAGAAGAGCTGGGGTGAGATCTTCCGGGCACTGAATGAAAATAACTTCAACCCCAGGATACTCTACCCAGCAAAGCTATCATTCAAAATAGATGGAGCAATAAAAGTCTTCCATGATAAGCAGAAACTAAAACAATATGTGACCACAAAGCCACCACTACAAAAGATTCTGCAAGGGATTCCTGCACACAGAAAGTGACACCCAACTTAACCATGAAAAGGCAGGCAGCACCAAACCACAGGAAAGAAAAAGCAAGAAAGTAGAGAGTAACATCAAGTTAGGTACACACAATCAAACCTTCAAACAACTAAGACAACTAAATGACAGGAATCACCACATACCTATCAGTACTAACGCTTAATGTTAATGGACTTAATTCACCCATCAAAAGACACCGTTTGACAAAATGGATTAAAAAGAAGATCCAACAATTTGTTGCTTACAGGAGACTCATCTCACCGACAGAAATAAGCATATGCTTAGGATGAAAGGCTGGAAGAAGATTTACCAAGCCAATGGCCCCGAAAACAGCAGGAGTAGCAATACTTATCTCTGACAAAGTAGACTTCAAACCTACATTGATCAAACGAGATAAAGAAGGACATTCCATACTAATAAAAGGGGAAATAGACCAAAAGGAAATAATAATCATCAATCTGTATGCACCCAATGTCAACGCACCCAATTTCATCAAACATACCCTGAAAGACCTAAAAGCATATATAAACGCCAACACAGTGGTTGTGGGAGACTTTAACACCCATTATCATCAATAGATAGGTCATCCAAACAAAAATCAATAAAGAAATCCAAGATCTAAAATATGCAATAGATCAAGTGGACCTAGTAGATGTCTACAGAACATTTCATCCAACTCTACACAATATACATTCTTCTCAGCAGCCCATGGAACCTTCTCCAAAATAGATCATATCCTAGGGCACAAAGCAAGCCTCAGCAAATATAAGAAAATAGAAATAATACCGTGCATACTATCTGACCACAATGCAGTAAAAGTAGAACTCAACAACAAAAGTAAAGACAAAAAACATGCAAACAGCTGGAAACTAAATAACTCATTACTTAATGAAGAATGGATCATCGATGCAATAAAAGAGGAAATTAAAAAGTTCCTGGAAGTCAATGAAAATGAAAACACAACCTACCGGAACCTATGGGACACAGCTAAGGCAGTCTTGAGAGGAAAGTTTATAGCCATGAGTGCATATATTAAAAAGATTGAAAGATCCCAAATCAATGACCTAATGATACATCTCAAACTCCTAGAAAAACAAGAACAAGCAAATCCCAAAACAAATAGAAGGAGAGAAATAATAAAAATAAGAGCTGAAATCAATGAAATAGAAACCAAAAAAACCATACAAAGAATTAATGAAACAAAAAGTTGGTTCTTTGAAAAAATAAACAAGATCGATAGACCCCTGGCAAACCTGACTAAAATGAGGAGAGAAAAAACCCAAATTAGTAGAATCAGGAATGCAAAAGGGGAGATAACAACAAACACCATGGAAGTCCAGGAAATCATCAGAGACTACTTTGAGAACCTATATTCAAATAAATTTGAAAATCTAAAGAAATGGACAGATTTCTAGATACATATGATCATCCAAAACTGAACCAAGAGGAAATTAATCACCTGAATAGACTATAACACAAAATGAAATTGAAGCAGCAATCAAGAGTCTCCCCAAAAAGAAAAGTCCAGGACCTGATGGATTCTCTGCTGAATTCTATCAGACCTTTAAAGAAGAACTGATACCAACCCTCCTTAAACTGTTCCATGAAATAGAAAGGGAAGGAAAACTGCCAAACACATTTTATGAAGCCAGTATTACACTTATCCCAAAACCAGGCAAAGACACCTCCAAAAAGGAGAACTATAGGCCAATCTCCTTAATGAACATTGATGCAAAAATCCTCAACAAAATAATGGCAAACCGAATTCAGCAACACATCAAAAAGATTATTCACACGACCAAGTAGGCTTCATCCCAGGGATGCAGGGGTGGTTCAACATACGAAAATCAATAAACGTAATAAACCACATTAACAGAAGCAAAGACAAAAACCACTTGATCATCTCAATAGATGCAGAAAAAGCCTTTGATAAGATCCAACATCATTTCATGATAAAAGCTCTAAGAAAACTAGGAATAGAAGGAAAGTTCCTCAACATTATAAAAGCTATATATGACAAACCTACAGCCAGCATTATACTTAATGGAGAAAAACTAAAACCATTCCCTCTAAAATCAGGAACCAGACAAGGATGCCCACTATCTCCACTCCTATTCAACATAGTACTGGAATTCCTAGCCAGAGCAATTAGGCAAGAAGAAGGAATAAAAGGAATACAAATAGGTAAAGAAACTGTCAAAATATCCCTATTTGCAGACGACATGATCCTATACCTTAAAGACCCAAAAAACTCTACTCAGAAGCTTCTAGACATCATCAATAGCTATAGCAAGGTAGCAGGATATAAAATCAACATAGAAAAATCATTAGCATTTCTATACACTAACAATGAGCAAACGGAAAAAGAATGTATGAAAACAATTCCATTTACAATAGCCTCAAAAAAAATCAAATACCTAGGTGTAAACCTAACAAAAGATGTGAAAGACCTCTACAAGGAAAACTATACACTTCTGAAGAAAGAGATTGAGGAAGACTATAGAAAGTGGAGAGATCTCCCATGCTCATGGATTGGTAGAATCAACATAGTAAAAATGTCGATACTCCCAAAAGTAATCTACATGTTTAATGCAATTCCCATCAAAATTCCAATGACATTCATTAAAGAGATTGAAAAATCTACTGTTAAATTTATATGGAAACACAAGAGGCCACGAATAGCCAAGGCAATACTCAGTCAAAAGAACAATGCAGGAGGTATCACAATACCTGACTTCAAACTATATTACAAAGCAATAACAATAAAAACAGCATGGTACTGGCACAAAAACAGACATGAAGACCAGTGGAACAGAATAGAGGACCAGATATGAAGCCACACAACTATAAGCAACTTATCTTTGACAAAGGAGCTAAAAATATACGATGGAGAAATAGCAGCCTCTTCAACAAAAACTGCTGGGAAAACTGGTTAGCAGTCTGCAAAAAACTGAAACTAGATCCATGTATATCACCCTATACCAAGATTAACTCAAAATGGATCAAGGATCTTAATATCAGACCCCAAACTCTTAAGTTGATACAAGAAAGAGTAGGAAATACTCTGGAGTTAGTAGGTATAGGTAAGAACTTTCTCAATGAAACCCCAGCAGCACAGCAACTAAGAGATAGCATAGATAAATGGGACCTCATAAAACTAAAAAGCTTCTGTTCATCAAAAGAAATGGTCTCTAAACTGAAGAGAACACCCACAGAGTGGGAGAAAATATTTGCCAACTATACATCAGACAAAGGACTGATAACCAGAATATACAGGGAACTTAAAAAACTAAATTCTCCCAAAACTAATGAACCAATAAAGAAATGGGCAAGTGAACTAAACAGAACTTTCTCAAAAGAAGAAATTCAAATGGCCAAAAACACATGAAAAAATGCTCACCATCTCTAGCAATAAAGGAAATGCAAATTAAAACCCACTAAGATTCCACCTCACCCCTGTTAGAATAGCCATCATCAGCAACACCACCAACAACAGGTGTTGGCGAGGATGCGGGAAAAAGGAACCCTCTTACACTGTTGGTGGGAATGTAGACTAGTACAACCACTCTGGAAAAAAATTTGGAGGCTACTTAAAAAGCTGGACATCGATCTACCATTTGATCCAGCAATACCACTCTTGGGGATATACCCAAAAGACTGTTACTCCAGAGGCACCTGCACATCCATGTTTATTGCGGCACTATTCACAATAGCCAAGTTATGGAAACAGCCAAGATGCCCCACACTGACGAATGGATTAAGAAAATGTGGTATCTATACACAATGGAATTTTATGCAGCCATGAAGAAGAACGAAATGTTATCATTCGCTGGTAAATGGATGGAATTGGAGAACATCATTCTGAGTGAGGTTAGCCTGGCTCAAAAGACCAAAAATCGTATGTTCTCCCTCATATGTGGACATTAGATCAAGGGCAAACACAACAAGGGGATTGGACTATGAGCACATGATAAAAGCGAGAGCACACAAGGGAGGGGTGAGGATAGGTAAGACACCTAAAAAACTAGCTAGCATTTGTTGCCCTTAACGCAGAGAAACTAAAGCAGATACCTTAAAGCAACTGAGGCCAATAGGAGAAGGGGAACAAGTACTAGAGAAAAGGTTAGATCAAAAAGAATTAACCTAGAAGGTAACACCAACGCACAGGAAATCAATGTGAGTCAATGCCCTGTATAGCTATCCTTATCTCAACCAGCAAAAACCCTTGTTTTTGCAGAGTGGGTGGTAAGGGAGGGGGTGGGGGCAGGGGGGAGAAATGAACCAAGCCTTGTATGCACATATGAATAATAAAAGAAAAGTGGAGAAAAAAAAATGTTATTGATCATTTTTTCTGTGATGCATCTCCTATCTTGAAGATTTCCTGCTCAGATACATGGCTCATAGAGCAGTTGGTAATCGTCTGTGCTGTGTTGACCTTCATTCTGACCCTCCTATGTGTAATTCTGTCCTACACATACATCATCAAGTCCATTCTAAGATTCCCTTCCATGCAGCAAAGGAAAAGAGCCATTTCCACCTGTTCTTCTCACATGATTGTGGTTTCCATCACCTATGGAAGCTGTATCTTCATCTATGTCAAACCTTCAGCAAAGGAATCTGTGGCTATCAATAAGGGTGTGGCAATTCTAATGACAGCCATTGCTCCAATGTTGAACCCATTCATTTAGACTCTGAGAAACAAACAAGTAAGACAAGCATTCAGTGAGTCCTTCAAAAAAATTGTTTTCATCTCAAAGAGGAAAGCTCATGGGCAAGTATAGTAATAAAGTATCAGTTAAGCACAAACAACTGAGATCCATGTCTGTTTGTCTCTGCTTGATCTGATCCATATCAAACATGACATTTCTTTCTCCCAGAATGAATACTATCTACCCCTTAAATTCACTCCTTCAATCCCCCTGAAAATAAGCCTTTCTCCAGATAAGTTCCCAATCAAAAAGGTGATAACATATTTCTAATTAATGTAAAATAATTTCTAATCTAGCAAAAATAAATTAAAAACAAAGCAAAATAGTACATTCAAATCCAAAAGGGAAACAAATAACTTAGATTAAATTTTCTGGGTCTTCCAAGAAAATAATTGATTTAGAATTCTAATAACCTCTTCTAGTCTAAATGTTACTGAATAGTTTAATGGGTTAAATTAAAGTTTTTTCAGTGCCTAGTTCTTGGCACTCAAACAAAAGCAAAAAGAACTTATAATATTATTGGACTTATTTATCTCACTAAAAACCTCTATACCTAAGGATTTTTTTAAATCACCATTCAATAAGTGACATGATACAATGCAAAAGTAAAGAAAACAAAAATAAGTTTATATCCAAATAAATGTGCTCTAAATAGAAACAGAATGTGATATTTATGATGCTAAAGCTTATTTATACACATGTACATATTTTTACATATATAAAAAATGCTGAAATTATTAGAGTAAACATTCAAGGATTATACAGACTAAATAAAATTTAAGTTAAGATGAGAAAATGCTCTCTACTAGGAGTGAAATTATAAGTACAATGTCAAAATGTTAGTTGAAGCTTAAAATTTAAGGTAAAAATGGAGAAAACATTCAATTGTAAAATGGAATATGAATGTTTTTAGCAATCCTGGGGTTTGAACTCAGGTCTTCATGCTGTAACACTTGGACAAGTGTTCTGCCTCCTGAGCCACGCCTCCAGCCCTTTTTACTCTGTTATTTTGGAGATAAGATCTTACTCTTTGCTCAGGCCAGCTTGGACCTGGACCAAACCTCTTATTTTAAGCTTCTCACCATCACTGGGATGACAGGCACCTGCCAGTTCAACCAACTTTTCTCCATTGAGATGGGGCATCGCAAACTTTTCTGTCCAGGAACCACAACCTCCAAATCTCAGCTTCCCAAGTAACTAGAATCGTAAGTATAAACCAATAGTACCTGTTTCTAGAATATGATTTTTTTTTCTGCCGTAGTGAGGTTTGAACTCAGGGCCTACGTCTTGAGCCACTCCATCAGCCCTTTTTCATAAAGGGTTTTTTTGAGATAGGGTCTGGTGAACTATTTGCCCAGGCTGGCTTTGAACCTCGATCCTACTGATCTCTGCCTAGGATTGCAGGAGTAAGCCACCCACACCTGGCTAGAATATGAATATTTTAATGCAGCTAAATAAAGCAATAAGTTTTCAGATCAAGTATACAGGGTAAGTATAAATAGGAAGACTGTGATTCTTGCATAAATGTGAGACCCCATTCATAAAATGCATAAAGAAAAAGTGCTGGAGGCGTGGCTCAATTGGTATAGTACACGCCTACCAAGCACAAAGCCCAGAGTTCAAACCGCAGTTGTATCAAAAAACAACTTCATATATCATCAAAATATAATTTCAACAGAAATAGAAGAAAAAAACCAGCAATATACACAGACATCTCAAGTAATTTAAAAGGAAGTTCAAAATGAAAAATTATGAAGCAATGATTAAATTTTTCATGAGATAAATGGATTCTAAATTAGAACACAAAATGCCCACCCATTTTCTTTTTCAAAATAGCTCACATGATTGTCAACTAACTTTTCATATTAATCAGTCTGTCCCATCTTCTATGATGCAGGCCTAATGGTCAACCTTGGCAATCTGTTGATATCACAAAGATTTTACACCTGCTATTGCCACCATAAAACAAAAATGCTCTTTCCCTTGTTCTTCCATCTAATTTCTATTCTTCATTTATATCTCAATTTAAATGTCTCTCACTTAAACAGGAGTTTCTTCCTATCCCCATCACATATTCCACAAATAAAATTTAGAAAAACCATCTGTCCTGGAGACTAGACACAACACTGGCTTGTAATCAGACATTTAGGAATTAGGAATCAAAAGATCACAGATTGAGGCCAACCCAGGCAAAAAGTTAGCAAGATCTCATCTCCACCAACAAGTTGGGTATGATGGTATATGTCTATAATCCCAACTACATGGGAGGCATAAATAGGAACATCATGGTCTGAAGCTGGACCTGGGCAATGTAAAACCCTATTTGAAAAATAAATAAATAATAAAGGGCTTAGAGTGTGGCTCAAGTGGTAGTGTGCCTGCCAAGCAAAAGAGGCTCTCAGTTCAGACCCCATACAACAACAACAACAACAACAAAAAATTGTTGTCTATTCTGCTTGCTATTTTAACCTGAGCACTCCTGTGATAGCACCAATTTCAATAAAATGTTGTTATATTATACCTAAAATCTGCCATAAAAGCAAATACTTTATTTTTATGCCCACTTGAGTATTCAGTAAGTGCACCTTATTCATGGGTTTGTTCCTCACAGTTTTGACTAAGTGTAGTCCAAAAAAAATTAAATTTAAAAAATCAAAAGAAATTTCAAAAAAAAAAGTTCTAAATTCCCACTCAGGCACTGCATAGCTCAGTTGATGCAGGGAAGCTCTCAGTCAGTCCCAGATTATCAGTCAGTTGTGTTTAAATCATTGTGGATCTGCTGAGTGTTTCTCTGCTCTTAATTTTGTGGTAAAAGTGAATAAAATGAAAATTCAGATTTGTAAAGTTGTGGGAGTTGGGTTGTGTTATGGGAAAAATGACTCTATGCATTCGAGCATTCAGCTTTTCCTCAACAGCACTCTCCTTAGAACCATATACCAAGGAATCTACTATATATAAAACTTACTATATAAATGATACTAAATACATTACTTCTAAATATATTGAATAAAGGTCTTACAGCTGCTGCAAATATATATATTTATTTATTGGGAAAATGTAAATTTCCAATGTGAAAAAATATGCTGCATATTTTTCGAATATTTTGATTTATAAAGTTAAGGCAAAGATTAACTGCTGCTTAGAGTAGATTTGTGAGGGTTTTCACACAAATGCTACTCCTGCATTTCAAAGTTTGGACTAGTCCAAACACATTTGACTTGTACGTAGGACAGTATCACACTTTCACAGGCTTTGAAATTTCACCCCTGCTATCTTGTGAGAACTTGTGGGGAAATTTACAAGTGAAAATTCAGTGGAGAATCTTCAAAAATCTATCACAAAAGCCCAAATGCAGGTGCTAAAAGTTCCTTAGAGTTTGGGGTAGTTTGTTTTTACTCCTATTTGTGGCAAATTTCTTCATTTTCATCCTTTATACCTTCGAAAAGAGTAGTTAAGTGTCACTTCCCTTCTATAAAGGGTTTGTTACCTGATCTAATTTATTTCATTTATCTTTGACTCTTCAAATCTCTGATGGGATTTTTTTTTCTTTCTTGTGTATGGGATTCCTTTAAGTATCTTCTATAGCACTTTTTGTTGTTGTTGTTGTTGTTGTTGTTGTTGTTATGAATTCCTTTACTGTTTCTTGTCATAGAAGGTTTTTATTTCTCCCTCAATTATGAAGGATACAATAATCTAGATTGGCAGTTATTTTCTCTCAGTGCTTAAAATACATCAACACATTGCTTTTAGAGTTTCTGTTGAGAAATCTGCTGTTTTTCTGATGGGTTTGCCTTTACATATGGCTTGGCACTTCTCTCTTGTAGCTTTCAAAACTCTTTCTCTATTCTGTATATTTAATGCTCTAATTGTAATATGCCATGAGGAGTTTCTTTTCTAATTTTGTGTTTGGTGTCCTGAAGGCCTCCTGTACCTGGATGACCATCTCTTTCTCAAGATTCGAGAATTTTTCTGCTATTGTTTTATTGAATATGTTTCCTATTCCATTAGTTTGTAACTCTCTTTTCTTCTTCTATGCCCATAGTTCATAGGTTTGATCTTTCAATGATGTCCCAGAAATCTTGCATATTCCATTCACAATTTTTTTCTTCATCAGAATGTCCTAATTTCTCTACGTGATAATCTGCTTTCAATTCATTCCAATCTATCAGAAAGACTTTCACCTGAGTTTTTTGAGTTATTGAGTTTTTCATTTCTAAGATTTTTATTTAATTTTTTCAGCATTTCTATATCTTTATTGAATTCTGCTTTCATATCCTGCATTGTCTTCCTATGTCATTCAGCTGGTTATTTGTATTCTCTTTGAATTAATCAGATACTTATGCATGTCCTCTTTAACATCTTTGATCATTTCTACCATCATTTTTTTTGTTCATTTCAAGATTTTAAACACTTACTTTTTTTATTGTTTTATTAGAGGTACAATATGACATTTACAAAAGTTCTTACAGTATATCATATTCATTCTCCCTATCCCTTCCCCCCATTCCTAGAATAATTTCAACAAGTCTCATTTTTCCATTTACATTTATGTGTACTTAATATTTCCACCATAGTCATGTTCCTACACCTTTTCCTTATATCTTCTCCCCTTCCCCTGGTACCAGCCCCTCAGACAGGACCTGTTTTGCCATTCTGTTCTCCATTTTTATTTTTAAAAATGACATTTTTGTTTGTTTAAAATAGCTATACAGGGTATATCATTGTGACAATTCCATGTATTAGGTATTACCAGAATTGGGTTCCCCTCTACTTTTCTCTTTTCTGCCTTAGTCCCTTTCTTATGGTAATTTCAACAGGTTTAAAAAATTCTACATTCATTCTTGTATAAGAAGCATATCAACCATATTCACCTTCTTGACTTCTTTCATTTACCCCACCTCTCTTGTATGTGACCTCCCCTCAGTGTGACCTGTTTTTCATAATACTGCTTGCATTTGTATTGGGTTTATATTAGACAT